AGCCTCTTGCATGGGGATGACTGGCCCAGGGGACAGGGTGCTGATGTGTCCTCTCTAAGCCTCTGCACCCCACACTGACGAGCTGGACCGCCAGGTTCCCTTGCATGGGGGGGGGAGCACGGGGGGTTCTGAGGACACAGAGGCCTGTGGGACACGTCCATGGCATGAAGGCACACGCCAGAGCGTCGACAGTGGGCCGGCCGCCCCAGCAAATCAGATTCAATGCTGTAGGCACCTCCAGGCCATCCCTCTGCCCCACACCCTTGGTGGCCACGCACAGCAGGGCGGTGGCACGGTGGCCCCAGGCTTCAGCGGCTAGAGGGGTCTTGTAGCCAACCTCACAGTCACCACCAGCCTCCCCCCAGGCCCCTCTGGCCCCCACGGGCCAGACCACCGGTCACAGCCCTGACAGGGACTCCAGCTCCAGGACATGACATGGGAGCAGCTCATGGGTGATGGTCACCCGCCAGCATGTGCCAGGGCCCAGGGAGAGCCAGGGTCTTCCTGTCCCTAACAGCCCGTTCCCTGCACACGCACCCCAGAGCCCACTCCTCCAGGGGCGAGACCCATGACGGCGGGCAGCGTGCCCGCGGGAGGCCCTGTCCGCATGTCGGTGCGTGGCCTACCAGGCCTCCACTCTCAGCACAAACACTCACAGCCCTTCCCTCCCAGGGAGCAGGCCGCGCGGGCGGTGGAGGGGACAGGGCGCGGGCAGGAGAGCACCTGCGTGGGGACCTCGCCGGCGGCGGTTGCTCCATCGACTTCCCAAGAACAGAGAGGCAGGAACTGCCAGGGCTGGGGCCGGGGGTTCCCATTCCATTTTTAGCCGAGAGCGATGAGGCAGAGCTCCCCTCCCCCCGCCACATTGGCTTGACGTAAAAATAACAACAATGGTTTCTACAGGTTGAGCTCCCCGGCCTGGGAGCCTTTCCCTGGAGCCACGGGTGGTGGGGATGGGCCACGCCGTCGCCACACCAGTCACCTCGCCAGCCAGGCACCTGACCAAGGCCCCAGCGTTCAGGTACTTCCACTCCGGGGCTACTCCAGGCAGCAGTGAGGGACAGGCCGCCCAGGCTACTGCCCGGAAGAGGATACCTGGATGCCCACCCAGCCTGGCCCTGGCCTCCTGGTCACTGCTTACCGCTCAGCTGTCCCTCCCCTGAATGAGGACACAGGGAAGCAGGACCAAGACCAGAGCCAACCTGGAGGAGACAGGGAGCCAAGAGCCTCCGTGGAACAGGCTGGGCAGGGCCCCAGGCCCAGGGCAGGGAACATGCAGAGGGTACGGGCAGTGGGCTGCACGGAGATCAGCCAGGAGGGCGGCCCCCAGCCTAGGGCCAGGGGACACAGCAGGCCAGCCTGGGGCACAGCCTCCGGCCTGGGCTGGGCTGAATAAGGGGTCTGCACTGGGGTGGGCTGGGCCAAAGGTGGCTGAAGTGGACAGAGTTGTTTAAAGGGAGATGGGGTGTCCTCGGCTCAGCTGGGCCAGGTTGGTCAATCTGGGCGGTGCTTGGCCATGCTGGGCTGAGCTGGGCTGGACTAAGCTGGGCTGGACCAGGCTGTTCCCTGCTGAGCTTGAGCTTTAGCTGAGCCAAGCTGAACTGAGCTGAACTGGGCCCACCAACCTCATGGATGGGATGGGCTGAGCTGAACTGAGCTGAGCTGAGCTGAGTGAACTGGGCTGAGTGAACTGGGCTGAACTGGGCTGAGCTGGGCTGAGATGGTCTGAACCAGGCTGAGCTGAGCTGAACTTGGCTGAACTGGGCTGATCTGGGCTGTACTGAGCTAAGCTGAGCTGAGCTGAGCTGGGTTGAGCTGAGCTGAGCTGGGCTGAACTGGGTTGAGCTGGGCTGAGCTGAGCTGAGCTGGGTTGAGCTGAACTGAGCTGGGCTGAGCTGAGCTAAACTGGGTTGAGCTGGGCTGAGCTGGGCTAAACTGGGCTGAGCTGAACTGAGCTGGGCTGAGCTGAGCTAAACTGGGTTGAGCTGGGCTGAGCTGGGCTAAACTGGGCTGAGCTGAACTGAGCTGGGCTGAGCTGAGCTAAACTGGGTTGAGCTGGGCTGAGCTGGGCTAAACTGGGCTGAGCTGAACTGAGCTGGGCTGAGCTGAGCTAAACTGGGTTGAGCTGGGCTGAGCTGGGCTAAACTGGGCTGAGCTGAACTGAGCTGGGCTGAGCTGAGCTAAACTGGGTTGAGCTGGGCTGAGCTGGGCTAAACTGGGCTGAGCTGAACTGAGCTGGGCTGAGCTGAGCTAAACTGGGTTGAGCTGGGCTGAGCTGGGCTAAACTGGGCTGAGCTGAACTGAGCTGGGCTGAGCTGAGCTAAACTGGGTTGAGCTGGGCTGAGCTGGGCTAAACTGGGCTGAGCTGAACTGAGCTGGGCTGGGCTGTGCTGAACTGTGCTGAGCTGGGCTGAGCTGGGCTAAACTGGGCTGAGCTGAGCTGGGCTGAGTGAACCGGGCTGAACTGGGCTGAGCTGGTCTGAACTTGGCTGAACTGGGCTGATCTGGGCTGTACTGAGCTAAGCTGAGCTGAGCTGAGCTGGGCTTTGCTGTACTGGGCTGAGCTGAGCTGGGTTGAGCTGGGCTGAGCTGGGCTGAGCTGGGCTGAGCTGGGCTGAGCTGGGCTGAGCTGGGCTGAGCTGGGCTGAGCTGGGCTGAGCTGGGCTGAGCTGGGCTGAGCTGGGCTGAGCTGGGCTGAGCTGGGCTGAGCTGGGCTGAGCTGGGCTGAGCTGGGCTGAGCTGGGCTGAGCTGGGCTGAGCTGGGCTGAGCTGGGCTGAGCTGGGCTGAGCTGGGCTGAGCTGGGCTGAGCTGGGCTGAGCTGGGCTGAGCTGGGCTGAGCTGGGCTG